TTACTGAGTGGGACACACAGCAATTGTTACTCAGTGGACACAGAATTGTTACTGAGGGACACAAGAATTGTTACTCAGCGGACAGACCACAGAATTGTTACTGAGGGATACAGAATTGTTACTGATTGACACAGAACCGTTTACTTAGGGCCACAGAAACGTTACTTAGGCTACAGAAACGTTACTTAGAGGCCACATGAATCGTTACTTAGGGCCACAGAAACGTTACTTTAGGGCCACAGAAACGTTACTTAGTGGCCACAGAAATTGTTACTTAGGGGACAGACACAGATTGTTACTGAGGGACCACAGATTTGTTACTGAGGCCACAGAACCGTTTACTTAGGCCACAGAAAACGTTACTTAGGGACACAGAATTGTTACTCAGGGACAGACACAGAATTATTACTGACGGACACAGAATTGTTACTGAGGGACACAGAATTGTTACTCAGGGACACAGAATTGTTTACTGAGGGACACAGAATTGTTGCTGATTGATGCTAGGGACACAGAATTGTTACTCCAGGGACAGACACAGAATTGTTACTCAGGGGACAGACACAGAATTGTTACTGAGGGACACAGAATTAAGTTACTGAGGGACACAGAATTGTTACTGAGGGACACAGAATTGTTACTCAGTCGACAGACACAGAATTGTTTACTCCAGGGACAGACACAGAATTCGAGTTACTGAGGGACACAGAATTGTTACTGAGGGACACAGAATTGTTACTCAGCGACAGACACAGAATTGTTACTCAGGACAGACACAGAATTGTTACTGAGTGGACACAGAATTAGTTACTGAGGGACACAGAATTGTTACTGAGGGTACACAGAATTGTACTCATGGACACAGAATTGTTTTTACTGAGGAGGGACACAGAATTTGTTTACAGACTGGCGGACACAGATTTGTTACTCAGGGACACAGAATTGTTTTACTCAGGGACAGAACACAAGAATTGTTACTCATGGACACATAATCGTTGAATTAAAGAGTAATGTCAGACAACATGTAGAGGAGTGGCAGAGTGAGGCAATGTTTTAGGAGTTGAGCAGACGTGGCAGCAGAGGAAGGGGTCGAGGCAGCACTAGATCGCAAGCCAGAGGCCAGTGCTCCCGGTGTCATCCAGCGGTATTAGTGGTCGTGTCTCCCACCGACAACCCTGCCGTCATCGATTGTGTTGGCTCGGTCGTCTTCCTCATCCCAGGTCACCTCTGACACCTACAGCCAACGTCGGGGGTACGTTCAGACACACAACCGTTAGTTGGCATGGCCCGGGAGCAAGCCCACTGAAAAATCACGTGTCCTACTACCTGCCCCTGTCCTTTGGTGTTTCCCTCACCAAGCGAAGTATCGCATGCTGTGGGCTCAGCCCCACTGTACAGTGAGGAAGAGCTAACAGAGGGCGGTCCAGGAACGGGGGAGACATCCTCCGCCTCTTCTCAGCAGCCAGGCGAAGAAGTAGTGGCGAGGAGAGTGGCTCGGTAGCCGGGTCTAGAGACAGGTCTGTCTCCTGACCCACACGCAGCCAGGGGCTAGTAGTGAGGCGGAGACCCTAATTGATGATGATGAGGCTGATTGCATTTGGCAGCCTCGTCGTCATAAGGCTATTGCTTCCGCATCATCAGGAGAAGAGGGTGGCAGCTTGGCAGCGAGCAAAACAGTCGTGGTTGCCCAGGAGGCAGCAGGGTCGCCAGCAGTGTCAGTGGAGGCAAACGGCACGGAGTACAGCACCAGCTCCACTGCAGCTACCACCACGGCCAGTAGTGGTGCCGGTGTGCACGGAGGAAGCAGCAGTCAGCCAGTGAGGAGTATCGGGGGCAAAGTTTCCTACTCGGCACGGTGTGGCAATTTTTTGTCAAGCCGCCCGAGGAAGTAAACGTAGCCTCGTATGTCGACTATGTGGCCAGAAAGTCAAGCGTGGCCAGGGGGGCCCATGTTGGGACTACAGCGTTTGCGTCAGCATATGCAGCCGTCGCCATTAATGTTTGGTGGCCTGGGAAAACCGTGATAAAGATACGGTTCTCTGCCTGCCCCAGCCCCTGCTCCACATCGCTCCGTTACTTGCTCCGTCACCCGACGTCAAATCGCCCTCTATCAGCCCAGTCAAGGCTCCCAACACCTCTGCTGAGGGGAGTTGTCGCTCGTTGGCATCTTCCGGCTCATTCTGATGCTCCTTCTCCTGCTACTCCTCTTCACGGATTCCGTCAGCAGTCTTTCTTGGAATCCGTTTCCAAGAGACAACAGTTTGCGAGCACAGCGCACTTCCGACGGTGCAAAAGCTGAACGTCCTCCTGTCCAAGTTGCTGGTGCTGCAGTCCCTCCCTTTCCAAGTGGTGACTCAGCACCTTTCCGAGAAAATGATGGCTTGTGCCGCGCCGCGGTGGAGAGTGCCAAGCCGTCATTTCTTTCGCCAAAAAGGCAGTGCCAGCCCTGCATTCACATGTAGAAGAGATGGTGGGCCAGTCTTTGAGCATGTCGGTCTCTGCCAAAGTGCACGGCAGCGCCGACGTGTGGAGCTGTAACTACGGTCAGGGACAGTACATGTCATTTACGGCCCACTGGGTGAACGTGGTGCCGGTCACAGCCGCACCAGCAACTTGGACAGGTCACGCCGCTTTTGCCTCCACGTTTGCACGTCCTTGGTCCGGCAAAGATGTCCGCCTCTACCACCTCTTCTTCCGCCGTGTCCTCAGCCGCCCCCCCCGTGCCAAGTCCCCCATTACCCGACCGGCATATCACATGTGCAGGGCGCAACGGTGTCACGCTGTGCTGCACCTGGTATGCCTTGGCGAACACGTAGTCACACACAGGGGAGGAACTTCTCAGTGTAATGAACAGAGAAAATCGACAGATGGCTGTCTCCGCGCAAACTGAAAATCGGAACCATGTTGACCGACAACGGAAAGAACATGGTGTCTGCTCTGCGTCAAGGAAGGTTGTGCCATGCGCCATGCATGGCTCACGTTTCAATCTGGTTGTCAAGCGGTTCCTAAAATCCACCATCCCACTGCAAGACATCCTTAAAATGTCACGTAAACTTTGCATGCATTTCAGCCATTCCTACACCGCAAAGCACACCCTCCTTGAGCTGCAGCGGCAGAACGGAATTCCACAGCATCGCCTGATCTGCGACGTTGCAACAAGGTGGAATTCAACCCTACACATGTTAGAACCGCCTTTTAACGAACAGCGAAAGGCCATCACCGATTTCCTGATGTTACAAGCGGATAAAGGTACTCCCCTGTGTAACTTCGATGTCAGCCATTGGCAGCTCATGCGTGACACCTGCCGCTTGCTCAGGCCCTTTGAGGAGGCCACGCTATTCGTGAGTCGGCAGGACTATGGGATGAACGACGTCATTCCTCTGTTGCACGTCCTGGAACAAATGCTGTTAACAATGGCTGGTCAGGGTGCGGTAGACGTGCGCACAGATCTCAACGCCACATGACCCCTGTGGGGGCAGGACAGGAAGAAGAGGAGGAGGTAGAAGAGGAGGACATTTGTGTGCTCAGGAATTATTGAGTGAAATGGGTGGTTTTTCCACTCAGCGGACAGGAGTGGAGGAGCAGGAGCATCTGGTAGAGGAGGAGGAGGAGGAGACAGAGGACCCAGACGCACCGTGGCAGTATGCTGTGGAGATGGAGGCAGGGAGTCCCTCGCATTCCTTGGCACAAATGGCCCATAGCATGCTCGCTTGCTTGCGTAGCGACAGCCGAATAATAACCATCAGACAGAGGGATGACTTTTGGCTGTCCACCTTGTTGGACCCTCGCTACCGTTCAAAAAATGGTGGCCTTTTTTCACACCTGCTGAGAGGGAGGCCAAAATAACGTACTATAAAAACCACCTATGTAGTCAGTTGGTCTCCTGCCTTTCTGCGCCAACGTCCATCCTCAGACACTGTGGGCCCTGTGCGCTCTCGCGTTCCGCTGCCATGGCAGCAGGGAGGGGGTGGGGTGGTAGGAGCAGTGGCAGCTCCAACCAGCTGCAGCGGCTGCCCTCAGTCTGCAGTCGATGATGAGTAGCTTTCTTCACCAGCGCAGTGAGGAAACTACTAACCAGCCAGCAGCAGCAGCAGCATCAGGTGGACCTGGAGCAGGACCTCAAACAACAGGCTTGGGCCTACTTGGACAGCACCCTGCCAACCGAGGTAGACAATCCCCTTGACTACTGGGCAACGAAACTTGACCTTTGGCCCCAACTAGCTGAATTTGCCCTTGAAAGGCTGTCATGCCCGCCAGTAGCGTGGCATCGGAGCGCGTGTTTAGTGCGGCAGGAGGTATTGTAACTCCGCGGAGGACACGACTGTCCACCCAAAGTGTGGAGAGACTCACGTTTGTGAAAATGAATCAGGCGTGGATTAGTCTGGATTTCAAACCACCAGTTCCTGACACAACTGACTAAATCCGCCATGAATCATGCCCCAAACATGTGCCACTTTCAGGTCTCCTCACACTGCTGGTGTGTTCCATTTTTTGTCATAGGGTGCTGGCAGATTACGGGCCTCCCATAGCTGCTGCCAGGCCCCTAATCTGCCATGGGCCCCTATACCGCCTCCTGCTGCTGCCAGTCCAGAGTCTCTCATGGGTCCCTGTACGGCCTCCCATTGCTGCTGTCTCCATCGCCACACTCTGCCATGTGCCACTTTCAGGTCTCCTCACAACTGCTGGGTGTGTTCCATTTTTTGTCATAGGGTGCTGGCAGATTACGGGCCTCCCATAGCTGCTGCTGCCAGGCCCCTAATCTGCCATGGGCCCCTATACCGCCTCCTCATGCTGCTGCTGCCCAGGTCCAGAGTCTCTCATGGGTCCCTGTACGGCCTCCCATTGCTGCTGTCTCCATCGCCACACTCTGCCATGTGCCACTTTCAGGTCTCCTCACACTGCTGGTGTGTTCCATTTTTTGTCATAGGGTGCTGGCAGATTACGGGCCTCCCATAGCTGCTGCCAGCCCCTAATCTGCCATGGGCCCCTATACCGCCTCCTCATGCTGCTGCCAGGTCCAGAGTCTCTCATGGGTCCCTGTACGGCCTCCCATTGCTGCTGTCTCCATCGCCACACTCTGCCATGTGCCACTTTCAGGTCTCCTCACACACTGCTGGTGTGTTCCATTTTTTGTCATAGGGTGCTGGCAGATTACGGGCCTCCCATAGCTGCTGCCAGGCCCCTAATCTGCCATGGGCCCCCTATACCGCCTCCTCATGCTGCTGCCAGGTCCAGAGTCTCTCATGGGTCCCTGTATGTGGCATAGGTGCTCCCATTGCTGCTGTCTCCATCGCCACACACTCTGCTGCCATGTGCCATCATGCCATGTGCCACTTTCAGGTCTCCTCACACTGCTGGTGTGTTCCATTTTTTGTCATAGGGTGCTGGCAGATTACGGGCCTCCCATAGCTGCTGCCAGGCCCCTAATCTGCCATGGGCCCCTGTACCGCCTCCTCATGCCTGCTGCCAGTGCATGGGTCCCAGGTCCCTGTACGGCCTCCCATTGCTGCTGTCTCCATCGCCACACTCTGCCATGTGCCACTTTCAGGTCTCCTCACACCTGCTGTGTGTGTTCCATTTTTTGTCATAGGGTGCTGGCAGATTACGGGCCTCCCATAGCTGCTGCCAGGCCCCTAATCTGCCATGGGCCCCTGTACCGCCTCCTCATCATGCTGCTGCCAGGTCCAGAGTCTCTCATGGGTCCCTGTACGGCCTCCCATTGCTGCTGTCTCCATCGCCACACTCTGCCATGTGCCACTTTCAGGTCTCCTCACACTGCTGGTGTGTTCCATTTTTTGTCATAGGGTGCTGGCAGATTACGGGCCTCCCATTGCTGCTGCCAGGCCCCTAATCTGCCATGGGCCCCTAGTACCGCCTCCTCATGCTGCTGCCAGGTCCAGAGTCTCTCATGGGTCCCTGTACGGCCTCCCATTGCTGCTGTCTCCATCGCCACACTCTGCCATGTGCCACTTTCAGATCTCCTCACACTGCTGGTGTGTTCCATTTTTTGTCATAGGGTGCTGGCAGATTACGGGCCTCCCATTGCTGCTGCCAGGCCCGTAATCTGCCATGGGCCCCCGTACCGACTCCTCCTCATGCTGTGACGTTGCAACAAGGTGGAATTCAACCCTACTTTAGACCGCCTTTACGAACAGCGAAAGGCCATCACAGATTTCCTGATGTTAAAAGCGGATAAAGGTACTCCCTGTGTAACTTAGATGTCAGCCATTGGCAGCTCATGCGTGACACCTGCGCTTGCTCAGGCCCTTTGAGGAGGCCACGCTATTCTGTGAGTCGGCTAAGGACTATGGGATGAACGACGTCATTCCTCTCTGTTGCACGTCCTGGAACAAATGCTGTTAACAATGGGGGTCAGGGTGCGGTCTCCATAGACGTGGCGCACAGATCTCAACGCCCACATGACCCCTGTGGGGGCAGGACAGGAAGAAGAGAGAGGAGGTAGAGGAGGACATTGGTGCTCAGGAATTATTGAGTGAAATGGGCCTCCTTTTTTTCCACTCAGCGGACAGGAGTGGAGGAGCAGGAGCATCTGGTAGAGGAGGAGGAACTGACAGAGGACCCAGACGCACCGTGGCAGTATGCTGTGGAGATGGAGGCAGGGAGTCCCTCGCATTCCTTGGCACAAATGGCCCATAGCATGCTCGCTTGCTTGCTAGCGACAGCCGAATAATAACCATCAGACAGAGGGATGACTTTTGGCTGTCCACACTTGTTGGACCCCTCGCTACCGTTCAAAAATGGTGGCCTTTTTCACACACTGCTGCTGAGAGGGAGGCCAAAATAACGTACTATAAAAACCACCTATAGTAGTCAGCTGGTGGCTCTGCCTTTCTGCGCCAACGTCCATCCTCAGACACTGTGGGCCCTGTGCGCTCGCGTTCCGCTGCCATGGCAGCAGGGGAGGGGTGGGGTGGTAGGAGCAGTGGCAGCTCCACCAGCAGCGGCTGCCTCAGTCTGCAGTCGTTACCCATTTTTGCATTTGCTCAGATTACGGGCCTCCCATTGGGCCCATGATGAGTAGCTTTCTTCACCAGCGCAGTGAGGAAACTACTAACTAAGCCCAGCCGCAGCAGCAGCATCAGGTGGACCTGGAGCAGGACCTCAAACAACAGGCTTAGGCCTACTTGGACAGCACCCTGCCAACCGAGGTAGACAATCCCCTTGACTACTGGGCAACGAAACTTGCCACACTCTGCTTTGGCCCCAACTAGCTGAATTTGCCCTTGAAAGGCTGTCATGCCCGGCCAGTAGCGTGGCATCGGAGCGCGTGTTTAGTGCGGCAGGAGGTATTGTAACTCCGCGGAGGACACGACTGTCCACCCAAAGTGTGGAGAGACTCACGTTTGTGAAAATGAATCAGGCGTGGATTAGTCTGGATTTCAAACCACCAGTTCCTGACACAACTGACTAAATCCGCCATGAATCATGCCCCAAACATGTGCCACTTTCAGGTCTCCTCACACTGCTGGTGGTGTGTTCCATTTTTTGTCATAGGGTGCTGGCAGATTACGGGCCTCCCATTGCTGCTGCCAGGCCCCCGTAATCTGCCATGGGCCCCTGTATACCGCCGCCTCCTCATCTGCTGCCAGGTCCAGAGTGTCTCATGGGTCCCTGTACGGCCTCCCATTGCTGCTGTCTCCATCGCCCACACTCTGCCATGTGCCACTTTCAGGTCTCCTCACACACTGCTGGTGTGTTCCATTTTTTGTCATAGGGTGCTGGCAGATTACGGCCTCCCATAGCTGCTGCCAGGCCCCTAATCTGCCATGGGCCCCTGTACCGCCTCCTCATGCTGCTGCCAGGTCCAGAGTCTCTCATGGGTCCCAGGCCTCCCATTGTGCTGTCTCCATGCCATGCCATGTGCCACTTTCAGGTCTCCTCACACTGCTGGTGTGTTCCATTTTTTGTCATAGGGTGCTGGCAGATTACGGGCCTCCCATTGCTGCTGCCAGGCCCCTAATCTGCCATGGGCCCCCTGTACCGCCTCCTCATGCTGCTGCCAGGTCCACAGTCTCTCATGGGTCCCTGTACGGCCCCCCCATGCTGCTGCTGTCTCCATCGCCACACTCTGCCATGTGCCACTTTCAGGTCTCCTCACACTGCTGGTGTGTTCCATTTTTTGTCATAGGGTGCTGGCAGATTACGGGCCTCCCATAGCTGCTGCCAGGCCCCTAATCTGCCATGGGCCCCTGTACCGCCTCCTCATGCTGCTGCCAGGTCCAGAGTCTCTCATGGGTCCCTGTACGGCCTCCCATTGCTGCTGTCTCCATCGCCACACTCTGCCATGTGCCACTTTCAGGTCTCCTCTCACACTGCTGGTGTGTGTTCCATTTTTTGTCATAGGGTGCTGGCAGATTACGGGCCTCCCATAGCTGCTGCCAGGCCCCTAATCTGCCATGGGCCCCTGTACCGCCTCCTCATGCTGCTGCCAGGTCCAGAGTCTCTCATGGGTCCCCTGTACGGCCTCCCATTGCTGCTGTCTCCATCGCCACACTCTGCCATGTGCCACTTTCAGGTCTCCTCACACTGCTGGTGTGTTCCATTTTTTTGTCATAGGGTGCTGGCAGATTACGGGCCTCCCATTGCTGCTGCCAGGCCCGTAATCTGCCATGGGCCCCTATAGGCCCCCTACCGCCTCCTCATCTGCTGCTGCTGCCAGGTCCACAGTCTCTCATGGGTCCCTGTACGGCCTCCCATTGCTGCTGTCTCCATCATCGCCACACTCTGCCATGTGCCACTTTCAGGTCTCCTCACACTGCTGGTGTGTTCCATTTTTTTTGTCATAGGGTGCTGGCAGATTACGGGCCTCCCATAGCTGCTGCCAGGCCCCTAATCTGCCATGGGCCCCTGTATACCGCCTCCTCATGCTGCTGCCAGGTCCAGAGTCTCTCATGGGTCCCTGTACGGCCTCCCATTGCTGCTGTCTCCATCGCCACACTCACTGCCATGTGCCACTTTCAGGTCTCCTCACACACGACTGCTGGTGTGTTCCATTTTTTGTCATAGGGTGCTGGCAGATTACGGGCCTCCCATTGCTGCTGCCAGGCCCGTAATCTGCCATGGGCCCCCGTACCGACTCCTCATGCTGCTGCCAGGCCCGTAATCTGTCATGGGCCCCTGTTGTCGCTTGTTGGCATATTCCGCTCGTTCAGATGCTCCTTCTCCTGCTACTCCTCTTCACGGATTCCGTCAGCAGTCTTTCTTGGAATCCGTTTCCAAGAGACAACAGTTTGCGAGCACGCACCCGACGTGTGCAGAAGCTGAACGTCCTCCTGTCCAAGTTGCTGCTGCCAGGCTCGTAATCTGTCATGCGCCCCTGTACCGCCTCCTCATGCTGCTGCCATGTCCAGAGTGTGTCATGGGGCCCCCGTACCGACTCCTCATGCTGCTGCCAGGCCCGTAATCTGTCATGGGCCCCTGTACCGCCTCCTCCTCATGCTGCTGCCAGGTCCAGAGTGTGTCATGGGTCCCTGTACGGCCTCCCATTGCTGCTGCCAGGCCCGTAATCTGCCATGGGCCCCCGTACCAACTCCTCATGCTGCTGCCAGGCCCGTAATCTGTCATGGGCCCCTGTACCGCCTCCTCATGCTGCTGCCAGGTCCAGAGTGTGTCATGGGTCCCTGTACGGCCTCCCATTGCTGCTGTCTCCATCGCCACACTCTGCCATGTGCCACTTTCAGGTCTCCTCACACTGCTGGTGGTTTCCATTTTTGTCATAGGGTGCTGTATGGCCTCCCATTGCTGCTGCCTCCACCGCCACACTGTGGCTCCACACTCTGGTTTTGGCCCCGTGACTGCCCAAATGAGTGAAGTGTGCGGTGATTCTAAGATCGACGGCACTCATCTGCATGTCATACTGACTGTCAGTATTATTTCTCTTCCCCAGCAGACTCCAAGGGCATTTAAATTAAAGGTACAGTGTTCTGCACTAATATAAAGGCTCTCTAAAGCCTAGAAACACCCTTTTATAAGTTAAATTCGCGGCGAATATATTCGACTCGAATCAAAATTTTTTCACGAATTCGCCGAATCAGTCGAATCGAATTTTTGAATAATTCGCTCATCTCTAAATATGAGATCACACTACAATACGTAAACACTAACATGTCAACCACATCTAGGTTGCGGGCTGAAAGGAAAAAGGTGTCAATAGGCACAAGTAAAAGGAGGCCCCAGCTACTGCCCCGCCAAGGGAACAGCGTCAGGAGGGGAAAATCCTGATTTCAGATGCGTCTGGACAAGTTGTCCAAAGGTGGGAATAGCAGTGCCAGCAGAGTTAAATCTAAGCTGGAGGAGGGGGCAGGTGATCCCGGAGGTGTAGCTGAAATCCAGCAGTCTAGTAATGAGGGAGGATATTCCTTTTAGAAGAATGAAAGCTCTTGGAACAGAAGAAGGTAGTCAGGTCTGATGAATCATATTTTCTTTTACACCATGTGGATGGCCATGTGCAACACTGGGGAAGATATGGTACCAGGATGCAATAAGGAGAAAAGGCATGCTAGTAGAGGCAGTGTGATGCTTTGGGCAATGTTCTGTTGGGAAACTTTGGGTTCTGCCATTCATTTGGATGTTACTTGAGAGGTACCACCTACCTACACAATGCTGCTGACCAAGTACACCCCTTCATAGAAAGAGCATTTCCTGATGGCAGTGGTCACTTTCAGTAGGATAAGGCACTGCCACACTGGTTCAAGAATGGTCTGAGGAACACAACAATTAGTTCAAGGTGTTGATTTGCTCTCCAAATTCTCCAGATCTCAATCTAATCAAACATCTGTG